ATTAAAAAAAAAAGAATAATGAACTTCTGATGCCCTCCCCTCCAAAAAAAAAAGTATAGGTGAGTTTCAAAAAATATAATGAGCAAAAGAATCCAAAGACATTCTGTATGCCCTTTTTATATGAAGTTCAAGAACAGAAAAAACTAACCTATGGGGATAAAAATCAGAATGGTGGCTATTTGAAGTGGGAGGAAATATTATTAACTGCAGACATGAGTTAACCTGCTAGGCAGTACACAGATGTAAAGCTTTCTCAACCTGTACACTTGAGATTTATATGCTTTATTATTTAAAAATTTTGCTTTGATTTTTAAAAAAATAATCTTTGTGTCCCATGGACTTTTTGTCTCTGGATCATGCAAACGTAAGGTTTCCCAGATGGGAGACCATTCCAGCCCAGCATACACTTGAGCACATGTCTCTGAACCAAATGCCAGAGAAGCTGTATTAACATTACTACTGTCTTTAGCAAACTTACTTTAACATGAACCCTTAACCTTCACCAGCTCCCTAATTCAATATTAGACCTTCTTCTTAGGGTCACTGACTCAGTAACTAAGAAAATCTGAATCTTGAACTCAGACAAAGCTGGTTTGATGAATTGCATTATTTGTGTGTTTTTTATGTTTTATTTGTTTTCTGATAATTTACCAGGTTTTAACATATTTACTAACCTCTATATTTGAAAGGGGATCTAGATCTTTCCAGTGACTTTTAATTTTTTTATTTATTAAATGGGAACTAAGTTCTCAGACTATTTCTTCTTTCCTTGTTTCATTACTTGTTACTACCCTTAACAGTTCATATAAGCTTTATGTCTCTATAATATCACTGGTTACTCTTCTATAGCTTTTAACATTATGTGTCTATCCATCTACCCTCTTCCCTGTCAACTAATTACTCCCCAAATATTTCCTCTGCATTATTTCATTTGGTTTGTCTCCTCTTTGACTGGTTATTTTGAGCCTTTAAAAAAAAATGGTCTAATTAAAACAAAACCATTATAAACTCCACATTAATAAAGTGCAATTGAAACAACTATGCCATTAAAACAACAAAACATATGGCATTATTAGCAGCTGTATGAGCTTAAGCAACTTTCATTGATAAAATGTGGCTCATGACATTTTAATTTAGGTTATCACTTATGATTTATTGATTATTTGGATACAGTGGTACTATTAGTTATTAATATATCTATTTTTAGTTTTATAAACCTACTAGAGGCCTGGTGCACAAATTCATGCATGGGTGGGGTCTGGCCATGAGGCCGGCCAGCCAGGGAGAGGGGTCGCAGGCAGTTGGCCTGCCGCCCCTGCCCCCAGTAGGGGTGTTGGGGGCTGATCGGGGGCAGGCAGCCGGGGAGGGGCCAATCAGGGCCTGGATCAGGCTGATTGGCTGCCGCAGTGGGCATTATAGCCACCAATCATTCTGGTCATTCTGGTTGTTCTGCCATTCCGATTGCTGGGCTTTTATATATACTAGTATAGATAGTTATTCAAAATATGAAGACTAAGTAGAATTTCAAGAAATATTAAAGATAATTCTACCTCTATTCCCCACATTTATATATAGTGGGAAGATGGAAAAGGAGAAGTTTAGAGTAGTTAGATAATTTACCCAATGTCATTTACTGAGGAAGAGGCTAAGCTTGTCTAGCACTCAGGTCTCCTTGACAACCTACTGAATGGGAGAACATATTTTCCAATGATACATGTGAAAAGGGGTTATATCCAAAATTTATAAAGATCTTATAAAATTCAACATCAAAAATCAAGCAATCCCATTAAAAAATGGGCAAAGGACCATAAAAAGCATTGGTAAGGATGTGGAGAAAAGAGAAGCCGTCTGCACTGTTGGTGGGAATGCAGATTGGTGCAGCCACTGTGAAAAACAGCATGTAGTTACCTCAAAAAAATAAAAAATGAAATTGTTTATGACCCAGCTATTCCACTTCTGGAAATATATCTGAAGAAACCCAAAACACTAACATGAAAGAATATATGCACCCCTATGTTCATTGCGGCATTATTTACAATAGCCAAGATTCAGAAGCAGCCCATGTGCCTATCAATAGATGATTAGGTAAAAAAAAGCTGTGGTACATTTACACAATGGAATACTAATCGGCCATAAAAAGGAAATTTTACCTTTTGCAACAGCATTGATGGACCTGGAGAATATTATGCTAAATGAAATAAAACAGAGAAAGGCAAGTACCACATAATTTCACTTAGATATGTAATCTAATGAATAAAATAAATTTATAAAACAAAAACAGACTCATAGAGAGAACAGACTGACAGTTGTCTGAGGAGATGGGGATTGGGTGAAAAATTGAAGGGATTAAGTAAAAAAAAAAAAAAATACACAAAAAAACAGAGACACAGTGTGGTGATTACCAGAAGAAAAGATGGGGTAGGGGGAGGTAGAAGACAGCAAAGGGGAGTTAAATGGTGACAGAAGGAGACTTTACTTTGGGTAACAAACACACAAAAATATACAGATGATGTATTATAGAACTGTATACTTGAAACCTATATAATTTTATGAAGCAATGTCATCCCAATAAATTCAATAAAAATTAAAAAATATAGAAATTGAGATTACTCTTACCTTTGCACACCAGACTTTCCCTTGCCAGTTACATTCAAATTAACTTTAAACAGATGAGTTTAAAGTTCAACTGTTAAGGGACATGAGGGCATAAACTCTCCACAGAAAACAGGAAAGCGGTGGCAGTCACATGTCAAAAATTTCAGTTTTGAAAATTTAAAACAAATTAAAAGGTGTGTTAAATGCTCCATTTTTCTTAAAAAGGAAAAGAAAATTAGCACAGCAAGAGAAAAAAAAAAGAGAATCTTAACTAGGTTAGAAATATTGAGAATAGAGAGAAAAATCCTTAATGAGAATTACATTCAGAGCAGATTGTTGGGGAAGATTTGACAAGAGAAGCAGATGATGAATTCAGGAGAAGATTGGGTTTTAGTTAAAGGCAGGAACTTTTGAAGATAAGGTCAAGGATATTTCTTCTCAGCAGAATAGCACACAGTAGACCCTTACTAAATATTTGTTTAGTAGATGAATACATGAATGAATGATTTGGGTTGAGTTCTAAAGAGAAGAGTGGAAGATGGTAATAGAAAAACTTAGAGAGTCAGTTTGAGGAAGGTGGGGCTGGTTGGATAGAGATGGGAGTTAAACAGCCTATGTATAGAGGCCTAGAAGCTAGATTAGAAGTTGGCCAATTACGGCCCATGGGCCAAATCCAGCCCAGCACCTGTTTTTGTACAAGCAGCCCATGAGCTAAGAATAACTTTTATATTTTTAAATGATTGAAAAAATCCAAAGAAGGATAATATTTCATGACATGAAAATGATATGAAACTCAATTTTCAGTGTCTATAAATAAAACAATGTTTTTGTTGTTTTATTATTGCAGAAGGGAGCAGCCTGCACCTTACAGGAGCAGTAATAATGTGCTTTATAAAAATTATCTCTTTAAATTCTCACAACAACTCTATGGGATATAATTCATTGTTCCCATTTCACTGATGAGCAAGGTCACAAAGTTCATTAGTGGCCGAGTCAGGAGCTATACCCACAGCTATGTGCCTTTCCGGACTTTCCAATTTCCCCTAGGATAAAAGCCATCACTCTGGAAGTAGTGAGACTATAAAATGCTTATAAAAGAGGGTGTGAGAGTATGCTGAATACTTAGAGGGCAGTTTTGGAACTGAATCAGAGGAAGGAGGGAATGGTTTAGGCAGACACATTTCTAAGAGATGTATATAGATTAATTCATTTAATTCTCACAACTCCTCCAGGAGTTGTATACCATTATTAATAATCCTATGTAGGATAAAGGATGGCTTCCTTTAAGACCACTTTCCAGGTAAAAGGCCCAGCATCTGGGCACTCTAACACTTTGAGACTCTTTGTCATGAGTGGTTGGGGTGGTCTCTGGCTGGAGATAGCCCCTGGCCAGAGACAGTACTCTGCGCCTCTCTGTTGTGTTCTTGTCTTGCTTGTAGGAACAAATTTAAACATGAGACAAGTAGCAGCAAAAGCAGGTAAGGATTTATTTGTAAGAAAGAAGTACACTCAGAACCTGAGTGGGCAACTCAGCCGGCCGAAACCATGTTTGAAAGTTCAGAGAATTTACACCCCGAGGCTGAAACACCCCTAGATAAGGAGAGAGTCACCCCCTCTCTCGTGTCTCAAAAAAATCTATCTTGAAACTATAAGGCTCTTTCACCTGGGTGTTATGCCACCAGGTAGACCACATCCTGGAGGGGCTCTAAATTTTTCCTCCTCACATCGGGGTCTGGGGTCTGCATCTCCATTGTCTATTTTTGGTTTGTCTCATCTGACACATCTCCCCTCCAAGCCTCAACTGCCTCTTCCAGCTCAAATCTTTCTAAGGACCTACTCTCACATTTTGATGGGTGACACCACTGGGTCTCTAAAGGCTCATCCAACCCTAAATATCTCTGATCCCACCTTCAGAAGCACTTAGGGAAGGTGTCCAATGGACTCAGCTTCCACCCTGGTGCGCTGCATTCTTGCCCTAAGACTTCTCTCCCAACCCCCCATTACCACCCACTCCCCCCATAGGCTTTTGAGACCTTCTAGCTAATAGCTCTCTGGTTCTTCTCTGATAGTTTATTCTAAAGAGACTTCCTAAATCACAACAAATTAATCAGTATTTGAAGAAATGCAGCAGATGAGTTTAAAGTTCAACTGTTAAGGGACGTGAAGGCTTAAAGGTCCACAGAAAGCAGGAAAGTGATGACAGTCATATGTCAAAAAATTCAGCAGCTGTAAATTTAAGGAAGCTCTTTGTTGCTGGCGCGTTTACTTCTGATGGTCACCTTTGGCCCTGAAAGCAGCCACTCACTTCCCCACTTGGAACTTACTCCTGGGCAGCTGCTGACAAAACAGGAAGTGATTAGAATGTCATTTGTTTTTACAACTCTCTGAACTTTGGGAGTTTTAAAACAGGGGTTAAAGTATCAGTGCAAAGTCCCATACAGACTGACTTAGTATTGAGCTTTCACAGCAGCCTTTCCCTTGCCAGTTACATTCAAAACAGCAAGCTTTTTTTTTTTTTTTTTAATACAAGTTGGTGGGGGTGGGGAGAGAAAAAAGGAACTGGGAAAAGAAGGAGAGGGGAAGTTGAACCTTCCCTCTCTCCCTGTCTTCCTCAGAAAACCAAACATGGCATCTTCCATGAGGAGCTTGTTTTCAGATCACAGCAGATATGTTGAATCTTTTCGGAGGTTTCTCAACCATTCCACGGAACACCAGTGCATGCAGGAATTCCTGGACAAGAAGCTGCCAGGCATAATAGCAAGGTAACAAAAAAGGACGCTTTGTCAAAGGGACAAGCCTCCGCGTTTTCCTTTCAGTGATAGATGGGTGGAGCCCAGCCTGCAGGCTGGGCGAGGGGGATAAGAACCGCCACTGATTGCAATGCCCGCTCCCGCTCCCTCTTCCTCCCACTGGGCTCCTTTTCCTGTGATTCTTTAGTTCGACTTTTGCTTTAAACATTCAAAGGATCCCATTTGTGCAGCATTTCCAGCTGCATGAAGATAAGCATTAACTATTTGAAGGCACAAATCCGTGTTCATTTGGGAAAAGAGAAGATGCAAATCTTTGAGTTCAGATTTTTTTCCTCCCTCCTCTAAATTTTGCATTAAAAAATGCCCCAAAAGGAGTCTAATGTTCTTTTCATTAGAATCAAATATAAATAATTACCAAATAATATTTGCTCCTGAGGACTGAGTGGGTGCCTCTCAGTTCTCCTAATATCCATTTAAATTCATTTTCCTTATCTATTATTATAGTTATCACGCTCCAAAAAAAATTGTCTTTTCCTTTCAACTTAATATTAGCAATGTGGCCCAAAAGAAAAAGCATTTTCCTATTACCAGTGAACCTCACTAGTTCCTATCCTTCGAGCAGACTGCTTTTTTTGGTGATTAATGTGTTCAATTTGTGCCAGGGCTGATAAGCATTATGGGAGTAACAGATTCCACACGCTAAAGATAATCAAATCACCTATGTAGGGGTGGATGGCTGTAACTTACTCTGCTTCAGGAAATAATGATGGAAGCTGGGAAGAAATGACTGACTGTGGATCCAATCAGCAGCAGCAAGGGAAACTGAAATGTTATCTTTTGCTGGCTTTCTCTAGTAGAGGCCTGAAATTCTTTCCCCAATATGGTACTCTGCCTGACCAGAGAGACCTTCCTGGATGTATATGGGATTGTTTTCCTTTCTATTTTTTATGGCTTAGTTTTTAATATGTTTTAATTTTTTTTTATATTTTAATTTACAGTTGACAATTTAAATGTGATTTTTAAAAGTAGAGTATTATATAATTTTAATAATTAAAAAGTAATAGAATAATGGTGCAAAAATTAAAGCAGACAGCAAATACAAACTTCTTACCTGGGATCTAATTATAGTTTATTTCTTTGGGTCTTCTTGTTAATTTCTAAAATTGAAAGTAATGAGTTAATTTCTGAGTTCTTTTGCAGACCTAAATGTCTGTGTTCATGTCTGTAGCTATCCAGTTACTTGGTTTTCTTTAGCCATAAGTGTGGTTTGAAGAGGCACCATGAATGGATATACATAATAAATGATGACCCTTCTCTTCAAGGTGTATACCATCCAACTGGAAATATTGAATGTGGAATTTGTAAAAGACTCAAGAACTTTCAAAGGCATAAATAAGTTTTCATTATAGTGGTAATATATAATTAGAAATTATCTAAATCAAAGTATCATTTATTTAAAAAATAATCCCCCCCCCCCCCCCCCGCTACTCCCTCCCAAAGTGATGTTTGGAATGAGCTTTAGCTGAAGGAGCTTTAAAATTTCTGCTAAACGTTGTTTCTAAGTTATATAAATACACAACATGCCTGCTTTATTTTTCATTCTAAAAAAACTTTCTTTGAAAGTCAAATGGTTCTAAAAAGCTTATAACAACAACAGCAAAAACAAAAAAAAAAAAGAAAACACAAGAAAAACTGGTTCCTTGCCCTACCCACTCCCAACCCTGACTCCCATTTTCCAGAGGCAAGCACTTTCACCATTCTGCCAAAATCTTTTAGTTGTTTCTGATAGAATTTTCTTTCCTAATTCTAAATAATAATTGTTAATATTTGCTGTGTGCTTGTCGTGAGTAGACAGGTCTAAGAGATTTACATGAATTAAATCATTTAATCCTCATACTCCCCTATGAGTTAGATACCATTATTGCAATCCTATAACATATTATTATTATTATTCTATTTCATGGGTAAAAAAGAGGCAGAGGTTAAATAACTTGCTCAAGGTAACAAATCAATAAACTGGGATTTCAACCTCGTGGGGAATGTCCTGCCTGCGGGTCTTATAAGGCCCTCGAAATCATTTGGTCTGACCCTGCCAAGGCATTATGGGTGAGTTAATTAAATGTTTGACCAAATATATCAGGCTAATTTTTAAAAATATATTTTTATTGATTTCAGAGAGGAAGGGAAAGGGAGAGAGAAAAATATCAGTTATGCAAGAGAATCGTTGATCAGCTGCCTCCTGCATATCCCTTACTGAGGATCTAGCCCAAAACCCAGGCATGTGCCCTGACAGGGAATCAAACTGTGACCTCCTGGTTCATGGGGCAATGCTCAACCAATGAGCCACACCAGCCAGGCTAGCAGGCTAATTTTTAAGTTGATAATTGTGTATTGCCTGCAAATAATGTTATACTGTCCAAATGGGCCTTGGCAGAAAAAAGGTTCCCACCCATATGATCCATAGCCTCACTGTGCTATCCACACATATAAGCATTTTAAAAATTAATCAAGAACATAAATAGGAATGGGTATATATATATATTAAGACTCATGATTATGAGTTGGAAGATAATTAGAACTAAGGAAGGCAACTCATTCATAAAAGTCCTTGACTCTACTTTCCAATGTCTTTAACTTTAGCCAAAGAGCAGACATGTTTACATCCTAAAGCCCAACAAACAAACGTACTTTCAGTTCATGTCTCCCCTCTAGCACTTACCCCTTTTCTTTTCACTCTTTCATCCTATTTCAACAATCTCTCTGGACTTTCTCCTCTTTATCGAGCACACTTTAAATCCCACTGTCATCTGGCTTCTTCCCTCAACCTACTTTTAAAACTGATATTATCAAATATATTAATATTGCCAAATTCAATGGAGATTTTCTTTTAAAAAAAATTTTCAGTAGTACACTCTGCCACCTTTGACACTACAGATGGCTTTCTCCTTTTTTAGTACTATCATATCTCTGAGCTTTGCTGTTTTCTTGTCTTCTTTTTGTATGTCCCATAATCCAGTGACTTTTAAAAGTTGATATTGCCTCATTATCCCACTACCCTTCTAAGTATCTGCAATATCCTTGGGTGATTGGAATCTACCCTAATTTTGACCATTACTTTATGACAATAATTCTCCAGAATACATCATTTATCCTGATCTCTTTCTCACCCAGAGTAAATCTTGCATATCAAAATGTCCAATGAGTTCAGATTTATCAAAACAAAATAAAACAAACAAACAAAAAAACAAAAAGAAAAGCCTTGAGAACACATACTAGTAACATTGCCATCAAGCTATATTCTCCAGTTTCCTTTTGGGCACCATGCTTCACCAAGTCATTGTGCATTCGCCAAGCCTGAAACTTGGCAGTCATTGTGCAGTCAGACTTGTTTCTGACCCCTTTACATCAACCTAAAGCAAGTCATAGTGTTGTTTTCCAGGCCATCAATTCCACTCTATTTCTAATACTAGAGCTATAATGTCAGGCTTTATCATCTCACATATTGCTTGAGAGCAAAGGAGTATCTTATTCATTTTTATCTTCTCAGTGCCTAGATTAGGCATACAATAAATGTTTGCCTGTTTGTTGAAAATATCAAGAAGAAAGGAAAGAAGGCAGACATAGAGATAGTATGAATCACCTCAACCTTTCCCCATATACAGCGAATGCCTAATTACATCCCAAGACTCAAGGACTCACTTTTTCTTTTCTTGTTCTCCAAATCAATTCTCAACAAATGATTTACCTTACCTCTGAGCTGTTTATAATGTGCTTCTAAAAGTCTACCAGTTCAAGATTGTTAATGAATAGAACCTACATTTCTAAAGATTTCTAAAGGCAGCAAGATCACTACTGAAAAAATTGGAATCTTTCATGTTGGCCTAGCTTTCGTTCACTGTAATTTTAAGCTGCTCTCTTCAACTAGACTTAATAAATCAGATTTTTCCAAGCATCTAGCACATTTTTCTTAAACTACATAATTTTTTTTTCAGGATTGGAGACAAAAAATCAGAAATTAAGATTCTAAGCATTGGTGGAGGTGCAGGTATGAATAACACATTTTAAAATTTGAATTTCACTCCAGACTAATGTTGTTTGATGGTAATATTGTACATTCTTTAGGAAAGCTACTTTGGGAAGAGATTAGCTTATTAAAACTAGTAAGGGCAATACCACTTCAACTAAGGTTAATGTCCCCATAGATCTAAAGGGTTTATGACATCAGCCTTCATTACTATCTGTAATGTGGATAAGTGTAGCTTTATTTTTCATAAATGGAAAAACATAGGACATATTTGGTTAACTTTTATCCAAAATGATTTAACTGTTCACAGAAAAGGAAAGTTTCATAAGACATTTCTTAAGCTTGTCCCACTTTAAAGTGTGGTTCGTGGACTGGTTGCTGGTTTGCAAACAGTCCAGGCAGAGATAAGAAGCCTGCACTGGAATGTAAATAAATGCACAGCTCCCTTCTTTGAAAACTTGCTGCTATGGGGAAAACTATGCTGAATGACATAATTGATTTACCCTCTTGTGGACCTACTCTTTGAGTTGCACTTGCCTAATGCATCCCTTTCCTCTGATTTTGTTCCAAATCTGCCCTCTAAGAATTCAGCACACTCCCCAGCCCCCTTTTAAAAGCTTTCCATTGTATTACTACTCCTAGAGCCAGTGCCTTTACCTTAGGGAAAAATGGGGAGTCTGGAAAGATATATTGAGGTGGGCATAGTTTCTGACTCTGCCACCAGTGAACTATGCAGCCTTTGCTGAAACCTAGGCTTCATTTTTCTTATCGGCAAAATGGGAACAATGAATCATATCTCATAGAGTGGTAGTGAGAATTATGTAGATAACACTTATAAAGTGGTTAGCACATTGTTACTGCTGCTATAAGGTGCAGGCTGGTCCCTTTTGCAAAAACAAAACAAAAAATTTCATCACCACACTTAGTCTTATATCAAACTCCTGAATTGTTTGCCTTGTATTTAAGTTGCTAGTCATCTGGAGGCCTGAGTTAATATATTAACACTAGAGGCCTGGTGCACAAAATTTGTGCACGGGTAGGGTCCCTAGGCCTGGCCGGCGATCAGGGCCCATCAGGGCCTTCTGGCTGCCAGCCGGGACCTTCCTTCATTCCACGCCGCTCCCTGGTGGTCAGTGCGCGTCATAGGGAATGGTCAAAGTACCGGTCGGTGGAACTCCTGAGGTGACAATTTGCATATTAGCCTTTTATTAGAAAACGTAGTCATATATATTGTTCTATATTACTCCTTCCCTCCCTCCCTCCCTCTTTATTGTTTTCTTTTCAAACAATCACTACTTAGTATTTGTTACCATTTGGTAACAAGTGGATGTTACATAGGGACAAGTGGTAATCTCTTGAGTCTCTTAAGTGTAAGAGTTTTAGTACCACATGAATGAGTGAATTGTTAGCCCATATTAACACAAAAATAACCAAGAACATGCTAATGGAATAAGACAGCTACTTTTTCATGTTATTATTTGTCCATTTATCACAAAATACACTGTGATATAATGTAATAAGGATTAACCCGTAAAATAATGTTACTTTATTATCATCTTTCACCAAGAAAATAGAAAATAACAAGGACAAATAAGAAAGGATATTGCCATGAATGATCTTTTATTTATTTATTTATTTTATTGATTTTTTTACAGAGAGGAAGGGAGAGGGATAGAGAGTTAGAAACATTGATGAGAGTGAAACATCGATCAGCTGCCTCCTGCACACCCCCTACTGGGGATGTGCATGCAACCGAGGTACATGCCCTTGACCAGAATCGAACCTGGGACCCTTCAGTCCCCAGGCTGACGCTCTATCCACTGAGCCAAACCAGTTAGGGCTGCCATGAATGATCTTATAAAAATTGTTTAAGCTAAAATATTCCATTATTTCTTACTGGTATTTTAAATCCTAAGGATTATAAGAATGATAAATTGCCCAGAGTTAATTCATTTAACCAAGACAGTCACTTCCAGTGAGCTTTGCATATGGGTTTCAGGCACCCAACAGGCAATGATACTATCATTTGATAGTGTCACTTGTACTTGGACAAGAAGAGAAGCCCTACAAGGAAAAGTAATTAAAAACAATCTCTATCTTGGCCAAATTAATTGACCTTTTAATATAAAGTTAATTGCATTTCTAATGTAAATTTATCCAGATGCTTATAAACTATCTAGAAAAAGGAACAGTTGGCCTACACAGTGATTCCTTACATAAAGGTGCACATAGGAACTCATTTAAAGAATTTATCAAAACAAAGGGAACAATACTTGGAGTTCTTCTGACTGAGCCCTAACATTGTATTAAAAACAAGCTCTGCCTTGGGGATGATATGGGTGCCCATTAAGGGCACTCTTCATAAGAAATTTGTCAGAAATACAAGAAAAAAATCCAAGAGAAATTCAAGGTATTGATACTTAGCTTTCACTGTTGAAGTGAGCTCCATGAAATCAAAAGCAATACATTTAAAATCCCTAGGTCTAGATGTCCCTGGCACAAAAGAGCAGTGCTCAGGGGGTAGAAGACACCCCACTCAGTTAGTTTGAGTGCTCATACACCAACTGGGAGATGCTCACCTGATGACCTGTCATT